TATGTTTTCAAACTTGTCATGTTTAGCAAATTTCTCTAGATTTTACGTAAATTTGTGTTAACGTTTTTAAAGCACTAAAACATTTTTTCTAATTTTATTTTACGGTTTTGATGTCTGATGTTTAATAATCCTGTTTCATAATACATTTAGTTTAAGTAAATTTAGTTTATAATATATTTAACAATGTTTATATTTGATAATAAAGGTCTAAAACATGTTTTTTCGCATTTTTTTTTTTTTTTTAATTATCTTCGCTTCCAACAAGGCTGCAAGCAACCACTAATTAGTGTTGGAAGTTACTGGAAGAGAAAAGATGAAGATTGTAGAGCAAGATAACGATTGTCAGACGACTTAAAAGATTGCAAATTGTATGAATCAGGAAAGCAAAATGAAGGAAGCGAATTCCAAAGAACTGATGTTCGAGGAAAAAAACTAGACGAATAAGAGTTTTTGGAGCACTTAGGAACAGTAACAGAAAAAGGATGAGACTTAATTGAATGACGAGTAACACGAGAATGAATTTTTGTAGATGGCAAAAGAGATGCTAGCTCTTTCGAGCAGTGACCATTACAGTATTTAGAGAAAAGAGAAAGAGAAGCAACATTACCACGATGTGACAGAGGTTGAAGGTTGGCTGCAAGAGCAGGTTCAACTATGTTTACAATGCGTTTTTACACCTTGTCTAAAAGAGAAAGGGCATCATTAGAAGATCCGCCCCAGATATGGCAACAGTATTCCATACAAGGCCGGATTTGAGATTTATAGAGATAGAGAATAGAATCCAGAGTAAGAAAGTGATGAGCTCAATAAAGAGAAGCAACTTTAGCAGATGCTAATTTTGTAACGGATTTGATATAAGGTTTCCAAGAAAGATCAGAAGTAAGAGTTAATCCTAGAAGATGAAGGGTAGGAGACTCATCGAGTACATTACCGTTCATAAATATAGTAAGGTCTAAATTATTGCGATAACGATTGGCCAAAAAAAATTTAGTTTTATCTGAATTAAAGTTCACCAGCCACTGTGAGCCCCATGCTGTAGCAGAAGTGAGATTCTTTTCAAGCTCAGATGCCAATCTGCAAGCAACCAGAGGGAGTTGGCTTCTTATCGTGACAAACATAAATGGTAGTATCATCAGCGAACAATGCCACCTTAGATTTAAGAATATCTGGAAGATCGTTAATGTAAATTAAAAAGAGTATATGGCCAAGGATTGAACCTTGAGGAACCCCTGAGGTTACAGAATAAGAAGAAGAGTGCTGTCCATCAAGGATAACTTTTATACTACGATTGGAAAGGAAGATTCAATAATCTTAAAGATGTTTCCAAATACACCGTAAGAAGAAAGCTTATGGAACAAACCAGCATGCCAAACCTTATCAAACGCTTTAGAAATGTTAAGAGCAATGGCCTTAATCTCTCCACCTTTATCTAATGCGTGATAAAACCTGTCGGTTATTACTGTTAGCAAATCAGCTGTAGAACTTGAAGATCGAAATCCATATTGATGATCAGAAAGTAAGTTATGAGATTCGAGATGAGAGAATAAGTGTTTGTTAATTAAAGATTCAAAAACCTTGCTTATGATAGGAAGAAGACTAATGAGACGGTAGTTAGACGAATCGGATCGCTCTCCAGAATTATCAAAAATAGGGATAACAGATGCTGCTTACCAGCAGGCTGGAAAGCAAGACTCTGATAAGCACTTGTAAAATAGTTTGGAAAGGATAGACGACAGCTCCGGAGAACACTTCTGCAAGACTATAACAGGTATGTTATCCGGGCCGCAAGCTGTAGAAGAGTCTAAGCAGGAAATCACTTTAGATACAAAAGCTGGAGTGATGAGAATGTCGAGCAATGGATCAACCTGTTTGACGGCTATATCAGGTAGAACGCAACTAGTGGAATCAAGAGATGATATTAGTGAAAAGTTCATAACAAACAATTCAGCTTTGTCTTTAGGTGAGGTGACAAAGTCTGAACCATACAAAAGAGGTGGAATTACAGACTTGCCCTTATTATTGATGCTATTAAAGATTCTCCAGAAGTCACGAGAGCCTAATTTTTGTGATGAAATACGAGATTTCATGATCTGAGAATAGCTGGTTTCGGCGTTAGACATAACCTTTTTACAATGGTTCCTAGCAATAATAAACAGACGTAAGTTTTTTAGAGAATTGTTTTGCAGATAGTTATGGTTGAACCACTAGAAGTAGTGGTTTCGATTAGCAATTGCAGCAGCACAATGTGAAGGAAACCATGGAGAAGAGTGAGGCTTGACCTGGAATCGTCAAGAGGGAATAAATGGTTCAATGCCAGCCTGAATCCACAAAGTTATGTAAGAAGCACATTTGTCAACAAGGAGACGAAAGATTTCTACCCAGGGTCCATCACAAAGAAAATCACGGAAAGAGTCCTAGTCAGCTTTAAGGTAGTTGTAAGATGTACGATGATAGGGGGGTTCTGATGGTAAAGAAGAATGAGATAATAGTTTTAGAGAGACCAAAACATGATCAGAAGCACCTAAGGGTAAGTGTGAAGAAACTGAGCACTGACTAGGATCAGAAACAAGATGTAAGTCGAGTAGAGAAAGTAAATGATTCGGGTTGTCTGGAAAGCGAGTTGGAAAGTTGACTATTTGAGTTGGTTGATGGATAAAGAGAGAGGGCTTGCTCAATATGATCAGAAATAACATCAAGAAGAGTACAGTCTTGAGATGAGGGAGAGCCATTTAGAACAAAGAGAAAGGTGATAGAGTGAAGTGGTGTTAAACGAAAGAACATAAAAGAGTAGTCTGTGGATTCAAACCAAGTTTCTTGACAAATGGGTGTATTCTTACGAATGTAAATGCTCAGGCCAAGCATGTGACTATTGGAGTCTTTACGAATTAAAGGAAGATAACCATCAACACTAAGATCACAAGATGAGACAGCTGAACTTAAATCTCACAAAGAGCAAGCAGGTCTGGTTAACTTTGCAAGAGATAAGACTCAACAGAAGAAAAGTTACTTTGAAGACCACGAATATTGGTGAATGATAGGTTTAGCGAACTTGGTGATGACTGTGGTTTTTTGTGTTTTATAGTTTTTGTTACTATATTCATTTTCAACTTTGTTAAAGAACTTGTCTCGAAACATAGATAGTACTCAGTACACTGTTTTATAGCTCAAGCAATTGCCTCATTTCCACTAATAAACCCTAAGCCGTAACAAAGGGCTCCAATGTGGCTTTGGCAATGCACACCAAAAGTGCAAACAGGGACACCATCCATGCGCAACATGGCACTGTTAGTACTCTGATATTTTTTAGCTGTTGATGGAATCAGCCTCTCTGAGAGCTACCACAGAGTTCGGGAAACCTGACTACCAGCTGGATTCAGAACCATAAAACTGAGTTTCATAGCTGTACCCTCATTTGGAGATAATAGAATGAGTTGCCTAGTCATAAAAACAAAGACACAAGCAAAACCCATGAATCAAGTCAAGAAGATCCAGCGTTCAACATCCTAAACTGGAAACAATGTATTAAAAATACATCTGCGCCAGCCTAATAGATGAAGAAGGGGTGCGAGGCTGGTCAACAGATAGAATCTGTTTGCCCCCTAAGTCTTTGCCTAGGAGGCTTTCTACAAGACAGCAGCCGGATGCATTTAACATCTGCCCAAGATGAGTATTTTTATCGAGACACCATGTCTAGCCTTTACTCAACCAAGAGCCCCAAGGCAGGAGATGTTTTATGTCGGAGTTTGCATCTCCTAGCCTTTGCCTAAAAAGGCATATCCTACAAGGCAGCAAGACATGAAGCAGATTGTACTGGGTTACATTACCAGTACCAGGATAAACCTCACCTGACATTATTTTGATATAAAGTAACAATAAATTATAGAAATTTAGTTATGTTTATCATTTGTCCCGTTTATTTAAAAATCAAAGAATGTTTTGATAAATTTTTTAAATGTCATAAGATACAAAATTGTATTGGTGTTATTAATCTTTTTACAGAACAAAATTATCTCAAAATTTTTAAAGGTTTTAGCAACACTATTTAAGTAATTATTTTCATAAAATAACAAGAAGCTGTAGAGCTCACTTTAAAACAGCCATGACTTTGTCTTGAAATAAAAATTATTATTTTAAGCTTATTATATCATCAGTTTGGGTAATTTTAATTTCATTCTCAAACATTTGGTTCTGGTATTTTATCACAATTACTAACATTTTCAACTAATTTTATTTTACATGCAAGGTTTCTTTTTTAACCATTAACATAAGAAGGGGAATCTTGCAGCAGAAGACTGAAAAAAGAAAATTTATTATAAAAACATGTGTTAGTTGATGTAAGATAGCAAACTATAATAATTATAAATACCTTATTCATTTAATGCTTAAATGTTTGATAACAAACACTAATAATTAGAAATATTTTTATATTCAAAAATAAATTTTTTGTTGATTTTAAATAGCAAATTAAATTAAAAAAATGGACTGTTATTACTATACCTGAAAGGCTCTGTGCAATTATATATATTTTTTTTCTCCTTTTTCTATAGACATAACAAAGTTCCTGTATCCATTTTATTAGCCTATAGTGGCGATTTTTACCATCTTTTATTGTACAATGAGTAAGCATTTTCCTTTGTTTGTTACTTTCTTGCAGAACTAAAAGTAATAAATCTTTATTTACCTTTGCAAACTTTGTGCATTACATTAAACATATGTGTGCAACACTTTTACTGTAATTCGAGAATCATGGTTGTTGTTTTATTTTTATTTTTAATATGCAATAAATGGATATTAAAAATAAAAATAAAAACTTAAAAATGTTTAAAGTATGTATTTCACTTAATAAGGGTATTTTTTTATCCTTGTCAATCCAACAATCTATATGTAAAAAACATTTATAAATGAAATTTTGTTTATGTTTTTGAAAAAGCTTCAAACATTATTTTTCAAATACCATTTTTAAATTGAGTTTTGAATGCATATCAGTACTTTTTTTTTAGTTAATACTCAACAATGCATGCAGCAGCCCTCAACAACAATGCAATTTTCATTTGCTTTAGCAGTATCATACTGTGTAATTACTTGCTCAAATTTGGGATTGAATACAGTATTTTTTGGCAATCCTTGTTTCTGTGGAAGTTATATTGTTGAGCAGTATGGGTGTGGCTGGATGCAAACATGTACAAACTCTGATTACTGTATAATAGGTGAGAATTCTTAAATGTTCTTTTATATAGTATTATTGCCAAATATATGCTTCTACAAATCATGATCTATTTAACAATTCACTTTCATCAGTTAAACTTTATTTTATATATTCATTTTTATAATTATAATTACTAAATTGGTGTTCATTCTTCATCTACGATGGATGTTTTTTGTAATGGAAAAAAAACAAACAAGTGAATTAAATTTTTTTTTTTTTTTTAACTATAGACAAAACTATTCAACTTTTTCTTTTGAATTCCAGAGATATTCAAAAGAGGAAAAAAAGAAATTATATTATTACAAAGTGATAATATATTGAAAATTATGTATATAGTAATAATAATAAAAAGCTACAAAAACAATTCATGATCATGAGTTGGGTTTCTAACAGCTGTTAACAGAAACCGTAAAACATCTGTTTTTTAGCCAAAATTGGAAAACAGAAAAACAGTTGCTTTTTTGCTACCTGTTTTCCTGTTTTTAATTTTTATCCTAATATTTTTTTCAAACAGAAAATTAAAATAAAAATCAAAAAAATTAAAAAAAAAAACAGTTTGATTTTTGAATAATATCTAGATTTTTAATATGCAACAAAGTAGTGCCCTCTATGAATTTAACTTAAAAATATTTGTTTTGTGAAGCAAGTGTAAAAGTTGTGACTAAACTAATTCCCTATGGATAATTATTTCTAATACTCGTTCAGAATAACCATTAAAGATTGCAACACAAGCAGTTTCCTTTAGAGAATTATATGAAAAACTCTATAATAATTGCAAAACTATTCCCTTAAGAGATTCATTCTGCATGAAATTTCTCGCATGAATGGAATAAAATCTGTAGCGATAAATTCAACAGAGTTAAAATAACGATACAAAAAACTACACATAGTTCTAACATTATATAATTACTTGTAATAGTTTAATATAATATAGAATTAAATGTTAAACAAAACATAATACTGATTCTCTTTCCTATAAATAAGAATATCATAACAGGTAGAGTGAGTTGTTGATATTATTGGCTTAAATTGAATTTATAATTAACTATTTCATTATGTCGCTAAAAAGTAGATATTATTCTTATTATGAAGAATATTTATTATGTATGTATGTATAATGTACACCTTAATTCAATAGAGATGTCATCTGTTTGGGAGTTTGCAACAGAACGTAAAAATCCTGTGACTAAGAATATAGAAAGAGTTTGCAATTGCTGCAATTATGTCATTAACTACTCTGGAGGGTCTTAAAGGCTGACTTAAAATTGAAGCATAGAATTAATTAGTCTCAAACTGAAAAACTTCCTCCTGAACAAGTTGTAGCAGAAAAGAAACCTAAAATATTAGTTGATTTTGTTCAATGTAAGAGCTTAAATGAAATGATTTCTGACATGGCCACAGACGGATTATCCATTAGAGTTATTACCAGAAATCAGTTTATTTGCGATGCAATCAAAAAAGAAGGATTTCTTGTTCCAAAAAATGAGAACGGGGTAATGAAGCTTATCAATGCTGATTTTCAAAACAAGAAAAATCAAATGGTTTCAGAAATTGTTTCAAAAATTGGGAAGGGAAGAAAGTTCAGTAAAGGTGTTGACAAGTATACAACTGTTCTTCACTGTTTCTTCACTACAATGCAGACTTATTCCAAAGAACCGTCGCCGCTTCTTTGGAATAAATCTGCATTGTAGTGAAGAAAATAAAACATACAAATTAGAATTAGTTTGCATCTTTGGTTAATGCAATGCTGAAGCAATGGTTAAAAAAATATCAAATCACTTGAAAAGTTTTTCAATTGAATTTGAATAAGATTTGGTAAGATCAACACAAAACGGTGCAGCAATCAACAAGATGAAATATATGAAAATTGTCAAGATTATTGACCAGTATTGCATTAATTATGGCTTTCGGTTGGGAGTTACTGACACTTTGTATAAGAAAAATGACTGAACTAGTTCAAGTGAGTTAAATTCGGACTCAGGTGATAAAGATCAGGTTGACAATTTTGAAAATAATGAAATGGAGATTGTGCAATTAGATTATTCAGAAGTCAATTTCCATTCTGTTTTGAAAAATGCACGAGATGTTGTCAAATATATCAGAAATTGGACCATTAGAAGTCAAATATTTCAATCAAAAGAAACTCAAACATTTGGAGGTGAGATTGAATTGCACCTTAACCTTCAACATTGTTGGAATTCTATCCCCAAAATGATTGATCCATTGATTAAAACAAAACTTTGCCTGTTTGAGACATTACCCAATTAAATATGTTTGATCTGCTCAATAAGGTAGATTTTAATGCTTTGTTAATGTTGCAAACTGCCATGGAACCAATCAAAATTACTGTTGTGAAAGTTCAATGCTTTTGACAGCTGATACTGCTATTGGCTTTATGCTGAAAAACTTTCGAATTTAAATAACAACATTGGGAAGGAGTTATATGAAAATCTCAAGTAGGAGTGAAAGATAAAATAACAATGTGATGAACTCATTAAAATCATTAAAAAATTGTACAAATATTCCATCAAGAGACACTTTGCTCTTTGCTGGAAAATTGGCAAAAAGAGTTTTCGGTTTTTGAGAAGATTAAGAAACTTCTGGTTCTGGTGATTCTAAAGGTCATCAGCTTCAAAATCTCTTCAAAAAGAGTTGGATTTATTGCTGAGAAAAGAAAAAGTTACTCCCATTTCAACCATCAACAATGAGTTCAAATGGCTAAAACAAAATTTTTTGCTATTTCACAGCAAAAAGAACAGAAAATTTACAAATTATATGAGGCTCTCCTTACAATTAATGTGAACTCTACTTGTTAGACTTTTTTGTAACAACTTTCTGTATTGATAATAAAAATGAGTAACATATCTATAAATCAAAAAAAGCAATTTAAAATGAATTCCTAACAAGAAAAAAAATCATTTACATGAAATTCTATATGTATGGGTGATAATAATGGGTTTACTTAAGTCTCTTTATTTAAATATTTCAATTTATATAATTACATGAATTATAACAACATGAAAATTACTAAAAGTATTAGGCTCTGAAGAAGAGAAAATTACAAGTGGACATGATATATATGTTTAAAATATTCAAAGAATAGATAAAGTTAAACATATTATTCACTTATATTTAAAAATCTAAATATGAGGGGTCATGGGTTTAAATATGATAGGGAAGTTATTAATAGTGGAGTTAAATGCAAATTTTTAACAAATAGAATTGCACCATTCTGGAATTCTCTGCCATAAGAAGCAATCAACGCAAAATCTTTGGGTTTAAATACTATAGGGAAATTATTAATAGTCAAGTTAAATTTAAGTTCTTAACAAATAGAAATGCACCATTATGGAATTCTCTGCTAGAAAGAGCCATTAATGCAAAATCTTTGAACAAGTTCAAAAACATTTATGATAGACAACATAATTAAAATATTTTCAAGAATTAAAAAAAATTGAAGAAAACTTCGATTAAAACATGAAATGGCTGTCAAAGTGTGCAATTTGAACTTGCTGATGTTTTTACCAGCTACAACATTTAACTTTACTAAACTATACTATTATGATGCAAGAATATTTAAATAGCTTTAGTAAATGGGATGATGGTTAACAATATTTTGTTTCAGCTTTTAAAAAATGATTAACCTTGAAGAGTTCTTAAATCAATTGTAATAGCAGGAATTCTACCTAAAAATAGATTATGGCTCATGTAACAGAAAAATGTAAAAAAGCCTAACTATATAGCATAAAGGGTCAATAAAAAAAAAATACAATAAAAACCACATAACTAATAAAAAGTTAAAATTAATAAAAAAATATTAAAAATCATCTTTTTAAAATAAACTTCATATTTACTTATTTAAAACTCACATTAAATCTACTTTGGAAACCACTAGCAAACCTACTTTAGAATATGATCCTGTACCAAGTTCATCAGCTAAATTGAAAAGAAATTTTTCTCCAGAAAGATTGTCAAAGGATGCAAAGAATCATAAATCAGTCAATATTTTTACAGGTTGCATTACTATGTTAGTGCTGCTCATAAAAAAAAAGTCTTTAACATGCCATATATGTCAATATTGTGCAGTTTCTCTTAAAAAAGGAAACTATTTTTTTAAATACCACACTTTAGAAAAGTATTAGTAAACGCTTTTTCAATGTGAGACTATTTATTTTATGAATGTACACTTTTCAATAAAATTTTATTTTTAAAAAAATATACAACAATAAACAGATAACTTAATAATAATAGTTTTAATTGAAAAAATATAATATAAAATATTAGAATATATATGATAGAGTGTAAATGTAAAGTAATTAATAAACAAAATAGGTTTCTTATGCAGCAGAATTGAGTTTGTTTGGATACTGCTTAAAATTCTTTAAATTTTTGCTTGTGGTTTATTTTAAAAAACTTAAAACCTCATATACCTCACTCACAGATAAGCAGCAATGTGTACAATTACTTAACTCATATTTAATGTTTTTAGTTATAAATTTTAATTAATTGGTTTTGACTGATTATTAAATTGTGTAACAAACAGAAGTCTTCTGAATGAGCTGATTCAATATAATTTTTGATGGAATTAGGCACAAAAAAAGTTGCGGGGTAAGGGATAAGTGGGGATGACATTTGTCTGATGGGATAAACTAGTTATAAATGCTGATCCTCATCGAAACGTCAGTAACAATATGCGCAACTCTGAGGAGACGTTTATTACTTAATCACTACACAAATTGTTTACACATTAGCATTAATGTTTTTTTTCCATTCTGAGGCCTTCCATTGTTGTTAGCATACTTTTTATTTTGTGATCGGTTCTTTGTTTTATAAGTTTTTTGTCTGGTGATGTATTTGTTGTATATCTTCGTTCATATTGGTGTTTATAAAACAGTTTTTTATTTTTTTATTATTTTTTTTTTATTGTTATTGTTGTTGAGTAATAATTTGGGTGTATAGTCTGTTTTATTTATTTTTAAATATTCCTCTATTAATCTTTAT